ATGGGACATATGCACATGCATTTTCATTTTCATGATCCGATTAACGATCGCCGAATAGCGGCCATTTTAAGGCCGAAAATGCATCAAAATCGCACATTTTCACCATTCCGGACCCGGATCTCAGTTATGCATGGACGGATTTCGTTCAAATTTGGTACATACATTAAACATAATAGGACCTTGATGCACGTCATTTTTTTTTTCCGGATCAAGTTCGAAATGGCCGACTGGCGGCCATTTTGTTTTAAAGAATTCAGTTCTGGATCCGTATCCGAGACATGTCTGGATTGATCAAGTTCAAACTTCTCACACACAAGGTACATCATGTCACAAATATGTATGTGCATTTGTTTCATGATCCCATTAACCATAGCCAAATGGCGGCCGCTTTAAGGCCGAAAATGCATTGAAATCGCACATTTTCACCATTCCGAACCCGGATCTCAGTTATGCATGGACGGATTTCGTTCAAATTTGGTACTTACATTAAACATAATAGGACCTTGATGCACGTCATTTTTTTTTTTCGGATCAAGTTCGAAATAGCCGACTGGCGGCCATTTTGTTTTAAAGAATTCAGTTCTGGATCCGTATCCAAGACATGTCTGGATTGATCAAGTTCAAACTTCACACACACATGGTACATCATGTCACAAATAGATATGTGCAGTTGTTTCATGATCCGCTTAACAATAGCTGAATGATGGCCATTTTAAGACCGAAAATGCAATAAAATCACGTATTTTCACAATTCCGGAACCAGATCTCAGTCATGCATGGATGGATTTTGTTCAGATTTAGTACAATGTGTTGTACATATGCAGGTGCATTTCAGTCATGATCTGCTTTGAATGTATATGTCACTCAAATATGAACGGAACAGGGACGTGTCATTGACAATGACTTGTTATTTATTATTTACTCAAATAACCGTAGCAGTGAACAGTGAACTGCTAACATTTGCCTTTAAACATTGCCTCACAGCTGTTGGACAGAAGACATGAATACCTGTCAACAAAGGTCTTTGTGGAGCCCTCTGTACAGGGTTATTTAAATGGCAATTTGTTGAGGACAATTTGGGCAGATGATTGGTTATGACCACCACCATTTAAACATACGGATAGTTGTCTATTAACTTGATTGGGACTCGGGAAAATAAAGCTTTACAGGACACAGGGGTAAAAAAATAAGAAAGACTTATCCTACCAGCCACAGCGTCAGCTGCCACGTAGGTGACAGCTAGTCAGACCAAAAACTCGGACATGAAAAAATCTTATGATCGTTCACACCGTTTTTATCGCACCTAATTTGATGCGGAAAGTAACAAGACTGACTTGGGAGCTATTAGCGCCGCCTTATTACCTTGGTCATGTGGTTTGTGATGTAAGGGGAAAATCTTGAGATCATGGGGCTTCCCCTGACCTGGATTTCTCTCTTCGTCATTGGCTGATTGGCTACAGTTCAAAATAGTCATTTCGACTGACTGGAGTCTATGGTGGGTAATTGAACGTAGTGAATTGTAAAGTCTGAAAATTTCTTGGAAAGTGGCAACATTTTTTGTTGTTGAACTATTTGCATTGGTTTCTATTATCTATGACACCTGTATATCATAACATGGACTGATAAAAGGTTTATATTATTGATATGAATCCTAATATTGTTATGAATTAACATGCACGAAAATTGAGTCCCAAGCAACGATAACAACACACGCTAAAAACGCAAAGGCTCATGGGAAGATGCTTGTTTGTAAACAATGACACACTATGGCCATCTGACGAATGCGCAGGTGACGACTTCCCCGCTTTAAATAACATGCTGGTCATAACTTTGTTTTTCAGTCCGACATGAACATAGTGGCGTCATTTGACAGAAGAGGACAACATATTTACATGGGTAATGCCAAAGGAAAGGTTAGTATCATTATAGTTTATAAGCTGACTTACCAAGTCTCCAGTTACCATGGACATTTTTTCATTTAAATTGGGGAGGTAAAGACACCGGCCAGGATTCATCTATCCAACTTTTTGGAAACCTTGCTCAACTTTTTTAGTGCCAGATATTTTTCCTTCCCAAAATTCAGTGCAAATAATTGCACATTTTGTAAAATTTTCACTGAATTTCATCATCATTTTTGGCCATACAGACAGTGTCAGATATTGCTTTTAGATTTTTATCAAAAGGTTTTTTAATTTTTATCAACATTTCATTTTGACGACAAGATGACAATGGCACTTGAAAGGTTAGTAGATTCTCAAGTTGGTGATGCTGTGTGGTCTGATAATCTCCTGCCTAAAAATTATTACACGCTGTACATGTCAATAAAATTTATTAATTTGGGCTAAACTAGGGAAGACCTTATTATAAACATCATAAAAGTTAGTCAGCAGGCTAGCACAAACAAAATGATTTCTGATTTGTAAAAAAATTAAAAAAAACACATCAGTATTTGCTTCCATGCTATGGATAAAGAGCCATTGCTCAAAACATGTAGCTATTTTGAATATTTACTTAGGACAATGATAACCAAATATTATCTACTATATATTATATACTGTTATCACAGCTTCCAGGTATACTCTGAATTACTTTAATATTGACAGGCAGTGTAATTATTATTATGTACATCACAATCTGAAAACAGTTATATTGTTTATCACTAGATCTGTGTGATAGAAACCAAGAGTCTGGAATTAGTTGCATCATTTAGAGTAACCACGGGAACCAGTAATACAACAGCAATTAAGTCTATTGAGTTTGCAAGGCGTGGCAAGTAAGTACATATGATGATGATAAATGGAAATAACACCAAATATACCACTGGGTAATTACCATCATGTTAACATGTGACATCACCTGGTTACGCTGTTGTACATCAGTTATTTTGTTGGCTATCCATAGAGGCCTTCATCAAACGATCACATGTAATAAAATAGTCCAAATAAACATGTCTGCTCTTGCACCAAAATAATGATTGGTGAACAGACTTAAATATTAGAGCAATAATATACAATTTATGCTTTG